ATAGGGAAGAATTATTTTGGGCTCAGTTGTGATTCTTGTTTTTCTTTCCTAGTTTACTTGTAAGATTCAAGGAGGGGCTGCAGCTCGTGCCTCTCGTTGGGATGATGTATGAACTCACTCTAAAGTTGCTTCTGAATCAATAAACTTATTATTATTCATAAAAAAAAATAGTTAATGTGAAAATAAATTCCATTTACCCTATTGAAATTATCTTTTAATGATTTCATACCTTTTTTATCTTCAATTTGTTTAAGCTGGTGGTTGAAGTGTTTCTGGACCGAGTCAGTGTCTTTTGGGGGAAATGATGGTCTGATGTTTAGCCAAAAGGCCCAAAACTACTTTGGAAGTTTTTTGATAGTCCCAACAGTTCAACAATCCATTTTATCCAGTTTCCGGGTTTTCACACACTGTTCTAAACAATTAAGTATGAAAAAAGGTTTCAATACCCTAAATTAGTTGGTTGGATCTCCTCTGGAATCTAGTGTGGGGAGTTATTTGGATTGCTAATTGTTTAAACATTGTTCAATTGTATGCTGTTTTCTTAGAGGTTGTTCACTAATATGCTTGACTCTTTTTTTTTACAACAAAATCATGCATATTGGTGAACAACTTCTTAGTTGGAATTTTCTGAATATGTTTTTTTATTAAAAAAACATGTTAATTGCTAATGTTAACATGTGCTGAATTCCACTTTCCCATTGGTTCTTTATGGAGTCTCCTGGCATATCCTTGCCAGGTCGTCTTTGCATAATATTAAATTAGACACAGGCTTAAGTTCTGCTCCATTTTGGGACTCTCGTAGTGGAATGCCATGTTATGGTGGATTCCAAGTTCTAACACTAATTATTTGCATCATTGTAACCTTGGTATATTATACTTGAAGAAATTACCTTACTCTTGAATCTACTTGTATCATTGTTATTTTCAGCTTCACCTTGTCACATGCACAGAATGTTTACTTGTTTTTGTTATCAGAGTGTGAGGTTTTTATTTTATTTTTTTTGTGCTTCTGTTCAGAAACTTTATTTGTGAATCAAGTCATGATCATATGATGGCCATGTGTAGTTGTGTAACTGCTTTATCTTGTCTTACTTTTCAAATGTGCATGGAGAAGTTGGTACTTTCACTTCTGATGCGATCTAATCTACTTTGGAATTTATTTTGTACAGATAAGTTTCCAAGAATTCAAGAACAAACTTCTGGAACCTGGTCTGGTGGATCACATTGTAGTTTCAAATAAATCAGTTGCAAAGGTTTATGTCAGGAGGTCGCCTCGCATTACTGATCAAACCAATGATGATGTTGTCCAGGGACCCATTGATGATACTCCTGCTAGAGGAAATGGGAGCCAGTATAAATACTATTTCAACATTGGCAGTGTTGAATCGTTTGAGGAGAAATTGGAGGAAGCCCAGGAAGCATTAGGAATAGATCCTCATGATTATGTTCCTGTAACATATGTTTCCGAAATGGTTTGGTATCAAGAGTTGATGAGGTTTTTACCAACAGCCTTGGTTCTGGGGTCTCTGTTGTACATGGGGCGAAGAATGCAGGGTGGATTTGGCATTGGTGGTAGTGGTGGAAGGGGTAGCCGTGGAATATTTAATATTGGAAAAGCCCATGTCACAAAACTGGATAAGAATGCCAAAAACAAGGTTAGGAATTTCTTTTTTTTTCCTACTTTTTGGATTTGCTAATTTTTCTAAACGATCTGAATGAGAATGCTTATCTCTTTATTCCCCTTGCTTCTAATATATGAGAGCTACTCTTTATTTTTTCATAATATATACATTACCCATTGGTTCATTCCCATTCCTTCTCCCTTAACTAATAATGGCAAACTAATCAGAATTCAGAAGAAATCCTTTAGCTTCATATTTTTCCATGTATTTTGTTTTATTTTTCTTCTTGGTGGTCTAGGTTTTTTTCAAGGATGTTGCTGGCTGTGATGAAGCAAAGCAAGAAATCATGGAGTTTGTGCACTTCCTCAATAACCCCAAGAAATATGAGGAGTTAGGAGCTAAGATTCCAAAAGGTGCTCTTCTTGTGGGCCCTCCTGGTACAGGAAAGACACTTCTTGCAAAAGCAACTGCTGGTGAATCTGGTGTGCCCTTTCTATCAATATCTGGTTCCGATTTTATGGAGATGTTTGTTGGGGTTGGACCATCCAGGGTAAGGAACTTGTTTGCGGAAGCCAGGCAGTGTGCACCTAGTATAATTTTCATTGATGAAATTGATGCAATTGGTAGAGCAAGGGGTCGTGGAGGCTTCACAGGAGCCAATGATGAACGTGAAAGTACTCTCAACCAGTTGCTTGTAGAAATGGATGGATTTGGAACAACATCTGGAGTTGTAGTACTTGCTGGAACTAACAGACCTGACATTTTAGATAAAGCTTTGCTGAGGCCTGGTCGGTTTGATCGCCAAATTACCATTGATAAACCTGACATTAAAGGCCGTGAACAAATATTTCAGGTTTATCTGAAAAAACTCAAGCTTGATCAAGAACCATCATATTATTCTCAGAGACTTGCAGCTCTCACTCCTGGATTTGCTGGAGCTGATATTGCAAATGTTTGTAATGAAGCTGCTTTAATTGCTGCAAGAAATGAGGTATCACAGATTGCTATGGAACACTTCGAGGCAGCTATAGATAGGATAATAGGTGGTCTGGAGAAGAAAAACAAGGTAGCTTTTTATAACTTACTGCATAGTCTTCTCCTTTTGTTGCATGATTTGTTATTCTAGATTCTTTTTCCACTGTCATAATTTAGCATTTGCCTTACAACGGCAAGGAGCATATTTGTACCACAGTTGACAATTAATTGTTCAAAGATAATATATATGTTTCCTTTCCATAGGATTATTATGCAGCATCTTTTGTTCCTGGACTATCAATTAAAAAATACTCAGAACGGTGCAGTGGCTTGCTGATGTAAGCTACAATGCTACATACTAAAACCAGCTATTTTTGTTAATTGTTTACCAGAAAATTACTTTTACTTGTATTAATATTTAATAGAATATAAATTTCTGGAGAGTTGCAGAGTAAGCTTTAGAAAGGATTTAGGCGTGTGGAATCTATTTGTTTATCTGGATTAAAATACTAAACTTAATTTGAACCGGGAGGATTTGCTAAATCTAAGCTACATGGACCAAACTGAATGTATGAACTGCTGAGACTCTGGTATGGAAGCAAATCAATCCTGAAACAAATCAAGTATAGGAGCAAATCTTCTGAGGTTCAGAAAAGTGGGTACTGTTTCATGTAATCATGTCACTCTACTAACAGTTACAAAACATCAAAATAAGAAGAGAAAAAGACATAAACGTTGAGAGATTAAAACTCTACTCTGAAAACTCTCATCTTAAAATGAACTCCAATAACTTACTAAGAACCAGAACAGAGGAACAAGCACATAAGATCTACTTAAGACTATTTTTAGACTTCTAGTCCTACTTTTTTTAGTAATAGACCCATATTCTTTTATAATCCTAATCTAAGTGAAATATGAACAACAAGTTAGACTTCTTTAAGACTCCAAGTTACAATATAACTTAAAAATAGTAAATATTGCATCTTAATAATAATCTAAAAGCAATCCTGATTAAACTAGTGCTCAAAGTAATGCACATATTGCAACCTTAAACCAACTGACAGCTACTGAAAGACTTCTAGTATTTCTTGATTTTGAAAAGGCTTTAATAGCAACACCCTTCACGTGTAGCTAGGTTCTTCCAAAATCATAGTTTCTAGTCTGATCAGACTTATGAAAATAACAAGAGACAAATCTATAAATCCCATGCTTTTCACATGGACTATTTTGTGAACACAAAGGGCTTTGTAATAAGTCTTCACCCTACATTTTGACCAGAACTCACACAATCCATGTCTAGATTGTTTGTGAAGCTCTTTGTTGGTTTAAACAATTTAGATATTAATACTCTTTCTGACTGTAAAATAAGGTAGAAAAGAGATTATCTCAAGAAAGAATATTGGTTTTTATCTGGACCACACTTTTTTTATATTCATTCATTCATTAGTCCTTGTGTCAGGACTTGTTGCTATTTGTTCCAGATAAATGTTCAAGCCTTCAATTAAGTTTTTCATGTTTCTCAATTGAAACTTGTATATAGTCTTATGGGTTTTCATCAATGAATTTATTCCTTGGTTTGGAAGACTTGTTGTCCTACTACTGATTCTGTTCTAATGTCCTTAATTGTATATCTCAGCTTCACCTTGCCAACAACATGAAATCTTTTGAATACTTCTTTACATCAAGGACTGTTGTCATTTATCATTGTCTAAGCCTTGTTCTCACTACCTGTGGTTGTGATATAGGATGAGTGGAGATCCTCTGAAGTTTAGATATGTTGTGGGCAGAATAGGAGTTACAGCTAGGGATTCCAAGAGTATGGCTGATGTATTGGTCAGGCATGGAGCCAATAGGGCTAGTCTGTTTTTCGGGGAAAATCCATTGGGAGACTAGCTGTAAGACTAAAAACAAAGCTAAAGGGGGTGGAGGCGTTTTGGCCTTCCTTGGGAAGAAGGGCATGCTTCTCTTGAACATTGGTTATTCTTTATATTGATTGATAAGATTTTGACTGTTACAAATAAAAAGAAAAAGAATAGTGGGGGTTATGGAGCTGTTTAGGTGTTAGAGGTGTGGATTTTGATGTAAAACTACGGTAAAACTAGGATTGATTTGAGGAAGAATTTGAAATTTAAATGCTTGAGTTTCCACTTTCTAGCCTATTTTCAGGCCTCAAATGTCTTAATTGAGCTTCCGACTCATGTCAGAGTGTGTGAATAATCAAAACAAAAGCATGAAGAATAGAAGAGGAGAGCTCCCAACCTGGTATACCGCCTTCCAACTGAACTTCCATTCCATTCATATGAAGTTTTAAGCTGAGCTTTGATGGTTCTGTTGGGAACCTGGACCATCTGGATTTGTTTGTTGGCTTTTACATGTACAACCTAAATTAGCCTTTTCTTCAGCCTGAAATGGACAAATTGTTGAAGAGGACTATTGAGTGGGTGACAACAAACACTGAAGGTCCATGGATCCTAAGACATCAGATTCAAAAAGCCAAGGCATTGGGTTTTAGGTTAAATGGATCATGAAGGTGGGTCCCTAGGTCAGCTAATGACCTTGTTGATTCTGTTGCAGGAAAAGAGGTGGGTAGGACTTCTTTAGTATATGAGGGAGGCACCGGGAACTGGAGTTTAACCCAATATGCTAGGTGCATTTGTTCTCCACTTGATTTCTTATATTGTGAGTTTGAGTCAGCTGCATGGTGTGTGTGTGTTCCTTCTCTTTAGTTACCTTCCAGCATAAGGGTTTCTTATTTGTTTCTTTTATTAGCAAAGTTTCTTTTATTTAATGATAAAAACGTACAAGACATCAACATATATAGACTTTGACATTTGACACCTCATCACTTGTTGATCACCTCCATTTGTAACCAGCTGATATTATGCCTCATCACCTGCTTGTCACCTCAGAGATTTCTGCATGGTGGAGTAATGTTTAATCAAATTTGGTATAAATATTACAGTATTAATCATAATAACATCAACACTAGTATCCCAAACTAGATAGTTTAACTATGACCTAAAAAGTACTCCTGTAGTTTTGATTTGAGTCTTCTATTTAAGATTTGAGATTCCAGCTGAGCTAATTCAACCATAGATTACTATAGAAATGTGCCAAAGTGGCAGCTGGGGTTGTGGGCTCCACAAAAGCAAGTTTCCTAAATTGGTTTTCCCTCTGCAGGGTTTCTTCTTCATTTTCTGATGTGCATCAGGTTTGGTACAATATTTCTGTGTAGCCATTCCATTTGTTCATGACAACATCTGTTTGAAAAAGTATTCTCCAAATCCTTCCCATCCATTTGTGGCCATTCCATTCGTTTGTGGCCTTACTATTATCCTGTGATTCTTTCATAACATTGTTCCCAGTAACTTCTCACTGGTAATCCTTGTATAAGTTGGAATTTGCTGATTCTTGTATCAGGTTTTTCTGGATTGGATGGTTTCTTTTACAAACCTTGTATAGGTTTCCCTACCTTTTCCTTCAAACCAAAACATTCTCTTAGAGGAGACATTGTGATTCAAGACATATATGAACTTCGAGGAATTTTCTTCTGTTTAATGTTTTGAGGTATTTCTGAGTGAACATGTTCTAATGGATGCCCAGATAGGTGAATTTTGCAGACGGCCTTGCCAGAGGAATATGAAGAGTTTCTTTTTCTTTTCTTTTTTATATGTTTCAATGGATACTCAAGGAATAAGGAATTATATACTATTCCTGTATGCTTTTCCAATAAATGCATTTGATTCCTTACACGCACAAAATGAGAGCAGAGACAAGATAATGTTTTTTTTTTGTTCCTCTTAATATAGATTTAATTTTTTCTTCAAATAAAAAAAAGAATCCTCTTGCTGGATGACAATACTACAAGAAATACTTTCGACTGGTTAATGCTTTGAAGATGTTCCCTATGATATACATGACTTATGAGAGGAGAAAGATATTCCTCCACCCCACCCTAAGGGATGATAGGAATTTTTAATACTAATTTTCATCGTGTCTGTTAGACTTTCCCTTGTGCCTTTCTTTGTTCCTCTTAAACCACATAACTCCTATTGGTATCATAAATCAAATAGAAATGAATCAGTTTTTTATTTGCTCCTAAAAGAGTCTGATCCTAGACTCCTGATCCTGCTTGGTTAAGCAGGTAATAAGCAAGCAGGAACGCCGGACTGTTGCTTACCATGAATCAGGTCATGCTGTCGCTGGGTGGTTCCTGGAGCATGCAGAGCCCTTGCTTAAAGTGACAATTGTTCCTCGTGGTACTGCAGCACTTGGGTTTGCTCAGTATGTTCCAAATGAAAACCTTCTAATGACCAAAGAGCAGCTATTTGATATGACATGTATGACGCTAGGTGGCCGAGCTTCAGAGCAGGTACTTGAAATGTTTCTATTTCTATAGCTGTTGATCCATGAATTGCAATCTTTTAGCAGCAACAAAGAATTTCAAAATTTTGCTACCTTCATGCTTTTCAAGGTTCATGAATAGGGTAAAATGCCCAAGAGAATAATCTAAACTTGTTGTAATGGGACCCTGACTGCAGTTTCTTCGCTTCTATCTGGTGTATTGCAGAAAGCTGTTATTGTTGATGCGAGATGTGCTCCAAAACATTTATTTGTTATGGTGACCACTTTCTTTTTGTACAGGTTTTGTTGGGAAAGATCTCAACAGGTGCCCAGAATGACTTAGAGAAAGTAACCAAAATGACTTATGCCCAAGTAGCAGTCTATGGTTTCAGTGACAAGGTAGGGCTCCTTTCTTTCCCGCAGAGGGATGATACGTTTGAGATGACAAAACCTTTCAGTAGCAAGACTGGGGCAATTATTGACAATGAGGTGAGAGAATGGGTTGCCAAGGCCTATGAACGTACAGTAAACCTGATAGAGGAGCACAAGGAGCAAGTTGCTCAGATTGCTGAGGTTTTGCTTGAGAAGGAGGTCCTACATCAAGAAGACTTGGTTCGAATATTGGGGGAGCGCCCTTTCAAGTCAGCTGAGCCCACAAACTATGATAGGTTTAAAGAAGGATTCCGAGAGGTAGATGAGAAGAGTAGAGAGGCCACAGATGTTGGGACTATGGGGGATGATGGGTCATCACCACTTGAACCAGAGGTTGTGCCTACATAGTATTAACAAAGGTCTGTGGTTGTATATGCAAGGGATTGTTATTTTATTTTATTTTTACCATGATCTCCTGGGGAGATGAACGTATTGTACAAATCGTCATATTTGCCAATGATGTTATAATATTTCTTGACGTTACATTAACAGGAATGTCAAATGGTATCCCTTGAAAAGATTATTAATTAGTCCTTCAAATTGATTGCTAATGCAAAACACGAATGCTAGATTAGATGCTGCCTATTACTCTAGTTTGGTGACCTAGAATGATTATGGCGCTCTTAACAACAGGTGAACTTAATCAATCAATCAAATAAAAAAAAGAGAGTTGAACTCACGGAAGAGCAAGAGATTAATGTATTTGATATGGGAGGAGGGCAAGTGGATTTTTATTTGATGTTATCATTACTGGATGAGTAAAATAGAGTGAACGAGAATGAAGATCTTGGTCCGGTAATGTTGGGTTCTGTATTAGTTCAACTTCAGTGCCAAGCGTTGTGATTTTAAAATGGATAAAGGTGCTTCCATCTTACATGATTTTGCCTACTCAATCAGAAGTGTGCCTTAGAAAAAGTAGACATTAAAATCCCCACACATGAACACAATAGCAGCAGCATTTCTCAGGCGTTATGGTCTACACTTTACAGTAATGTGAGGAAAGAGTAGACACCCTTTAAAATGGCTCTACCGTGTACTGTCTACAGTAATGTGAGACACCAAATGTGCTGAAGTAAATAATGAGCGTCAAAAACCTTATATGAGTTTGAAGTAAAAAATAAGAAAAAACCCTCCATGAGTTCCTGTTCCTATGAATAAAAGATTGCCTTCCCCATTTCCCAAATAACTCTCCACTGCAGTCTCCTTCAACCTAATCCCACCACCACCACCACCATATTTTCCAACGCTTCCCAAACGATGACACCTATCTACTCGGCAGTCGGCTACTCGCTATTGTCGTTCGAGCTGAATGTGCCACTATTATCGTTCTACCTTTTTTTTTTTAATCAAATGAAGCTACCCTACTCTAAGCATCAATTAAATGATAAATGGAATAATCAATCGTTACTAACACCGTAATTAAATTCTCCCTCCGGCCTCCACAATATATATATATATATATATATATATATGTATATGCACAAGTTTATTTTAATAAGACAATTCTAATGAGAGTAAATCAGCCTCTCACAAGATTGTTCCCCACAAYTTTATACAACACATTCAAACCATGTATTGAGAACATCTCCCGATAATGGCATCAGAAATGATGATATTATGATAAGGAGATGTTCACAATACAAGGCAGAAATATGCTGTGAAACATTATGGGAGGCAATCTGGTACTCTAATATGTGATTTTATTTTAATACTTTTTTTTTAGCCAAAATAATTTTCTTTTCCAAATGCTAAAATTTCAGAAGCTTTTTTTTTTTCTAAAAAAAGAGTAGAGCGTGGTAGATTTTCTGCCGCAATTATCAATTCATCATTAAGGCCGTTTGTCGTTATTAAGTAAGAGATATTGACGATTGAACTTTTGATTTCAGGTTTGGAACCAAACAGAATGAAACTGTGATGTGTTGATTTTTTTTCTTTCTTATTTCGCTTGAAAGATTTATTTGATCCCAGTATTTATAATTTATTACGGTGGTCAAAGACCAAATATTAGCAAAGAATTGCCTGAGAAGAGTGAAAATAGAAATATATACGGTCCAAATACAAGGTTTAATCACTATGCGCATATATGTATATATAGGTACCCCAGACGAGTCGCCTAGAAAAGAAATTTAAGACGACCTCAAATCTAACACAACAAGGCAACGGTTTTGAAAGTTATCAACGTTGTTGGCTTCTTGACCCTCTCTAGTGATGATCTGTTCATGACTCATGAGCCAGTCCAGATGCAAATTAAACTCCATTAGTCTTAATTTTATGATAAAAACTAAATGAGACGCGTGCAGCAGACTGGAGTTAAAAACGTGTCCATATTACATTAATTTTATTTCAATTGAATTGATTGTGGGTGAACTTAAATAGCTCTATATTTAAGTTTTATTTTAAAATAAAAAAACGTAAAATTTTAAAAGGATAAAAAAGAAAGAATGCAACGAGAAAAAAACTCCTGTACAGATCGTGAACGTGAAAACAGGGGAATGCCACGTATGATAAATAAATGTATGAGAGATATTCCCAATAAGTGGATAGATTTAATTACAATAGACAGGTCAGGGTTCAGCAACATGAGGAATTTGATATGGACAACTGTATTTTGAAATATAGTATAGATTAACATTGAAGCTTTGAATGGCCAAATGATCCAATTGGCCATTCAAACCTATAATAAAGACAAGGTAGTTTAGTTGTTCCCCCTGAACGACTCAAACCTATAATAAAGACAGAGGGTCCTCAATCGGTCCCATTAGGCATTAGGCGAGGTCCAGTAATTAAAACTGCATTTGGTTGCATTTGAAAGGAAAGGGAAATAAATGTTTTTTTTTTTTAAATTAATGGAATGGCACGTGTCATGTACTGTGCAATTAAAAATAAAAGAATAAAAAGACATTCAAATGTTAAGGAATTTTTTGTACTTGGTTAGCTGCCACAATTGAGTGAATGAATTCATAAATTGAATTATTTGTATAATTACTTGACAAATATTGATATTATATAATGTTATTAAAATATTTTAAGCTAACTATTATGACTTAAAAGGCCCTTAAGGTGAATATCACATTACTTGTGTGCAATTAAGTATTATGTTTTACAATCAATCAAAACACTGTAAAAGCAATTTTCTAAGAAAAAAAACATTGTCTTCCCATTTTACTAGCCAACTTCTATACCCACAAGACATTATTAGACGCTCATTCACATAAATGACAGTATATATACAAGTGAATGGGAATAAGATGGAGACACATCTTCCCTTATTAGGTCCATTAACAGATGTAGAAGTGAATGGGAATTACAAAACCAATATTGGAAAAATTTAAGTGTGTATTTTGTTTTATAGGTGTTTCGTGATAGGCATTTATCAAAATGTTGTAATGTTATTACCAAATCAACATATTTTTCATCATATTCATCTATATCCATTGATATTAACAAAAATATGTTTTGACTTATGTATACACCAACCGTAAGGGAAACTTTATTTAATGCTTTTCCCTAACGATTAAACATTTATTCATTGTTCCATTGAAGTGACACCTACTAATGCTTAATTGTCATTAAACAATTTATCAAATACTTTTCTCGGTTTTAATGATAAATCAAATGCAAACATTTATTTAATAAATGAAAGCTATACCATATACATACTTTTTTGTGCAGAGTAAAAAATGAACCGATTAGGCAGTTTGAGTTTGGGATGATAGTATAATGCCTGATCACCAAATCAAAGGGGCAACAAGCAAGCGGCCAACAAAGGTCCAGGTCAGGTTAGCATTCAGACCACTCAAACTGGACCCGACCACATGGAAGAAGGAACTGGTGTCGTTGTCGTCATTGTGTCATGTTGTACGTACTTTTTATTTTTATTTTTATTATTAAATTATTAATTGGGGTTGGCACTTAATACTTGGCAGCATCTCCCAAAATAAAGACTGCATACCAACTTACCAAAAACTATAAGTTGATGCGTGGTGTTTTGTTCCTTCAAACTCGGGACAAATTTAAGTCCGGTTGGGACTATATATATATATATATATATATGCATAACTTGATCTGATCAGATTATATCTTCTTTTTCTTTTTTATTTATAAAAGGAAAATTTTTTAGTATCTTATACATTGGGTTTAGTGCTATTTTGATATCTGTCATTAACCAGCCGTTAAGTGTCATTTGAAAAAAATACAAATATCCTTTGAGTATCGTCTAATTCTCTTTATCAATCATCCAAACGTTGACAAAAAATGAATAGTCTTAAGTCTTTGCCTCTTCAAGAAAGTTAAGAAAAAAAAAAAGAAACGAAAAGAAAAAAGGAATAAAAACTTTTTAACAATGGTATTGGTAACAAGATCAAGACACTATAGTATAATAATATTTTGACTTTTTTGGTGAATATAATATTTTCACATTTGATTGGGGCACTATTGAACTTTTTACCTTATAATAACTTTCTTCCCCATCTATATTTAAGTTGATACTATTAGAGGGCCAAAAACATTTATTTATTCTACCTAACCATTTTTAACGTGGACTATTGTTATGGGAGTTCACTTTTTAGCATTCGACTTATAAATATGTAATAAATTTATATGTCAATTTGAAAAAAATCCAACTTTAATAGTTAATATAATGTCTAAGCTATTGAAGTGTACTAGTTATGATCTTCGGAATATCTTTGTCAAAACCCTCATCACCGTTTTTCTCCCTCCAAAGATTAGTTATGAACTTCACTTTCAAATTCACTTCTCTATTTATCTCTTTCCCTCACTCAAGCAAAAATGCCTTTGATTAGTTTGTTTCTATCTTCAAGACCAATATGTTAATGGTGAATGTTCTTAACATATTATAACTTAGACCTTTTGGGTTTAGGTGATGAAATGAGGTACGTCTTAACAATGGATCATTAATAAAATGATTTGATTTTTTTTTTTTTTAACAATGGATCATAAAACAGATTAGAACATTTATTCCTTTTGGTAACTAAACAACGGATCAAAATTTAATCTTGCCTTTTGCTCCAAAACCATCCAGCCACACTATTCGCCTTCGTTTTCTTTGTTATTAGTTATATCTTCCTCTTCATGGACAATTCTACTACCGTGGTAAAGAGAGAAAGAGGGCTAGGTCCTGCTTTTAAGATCTTTAAATAAAAAATTATTTTATTTTCTTTCGAAGGCATATGAAAGTTTCTTCTCGTAAACAGTTTCCTACTTTTCTTTTCTATATTTCACTTTTTATCAAAATTAAACATTCATATAATTTTAATTATAATTCCTTCTTTGGAGAAGATATATTTCTTATGGTCCATTGAATGTGAATCCCCTTTCTAGACAACCATAACATGGCTATAATATATAATTGAATCCTTCTTATTGAGTCTACTGTTATCTTTCACCCATAGCTAAAAAAAGCATCCAAACAAACCCTAAATTAATATTATGCTCATAATAGGATTGTTATTATCTAACTAAAATTAATATTAATT